CAATGGCTACTGCAATATGAGCCCTTTTTGGGAGAGGCGCTGCTTTGGGATTGGGTACTTATATGGGGGTCGGGGGCCTGCTGGGGAAGCTGGCCATTTAAGGTTTTTAGCTTAATGCATAGAATGCATTAAAGTGGTTATGAAGGCTCACTGGAGTCTCTATCCCAGGACTCCCTCTTCTCATTGGCTGAGCCAGAAGCAGGAGCCATTGGCTCCCCCTGCTGTCAATCACAGCCAGTGAGCCAATGAGAAGAGAGAAGGGGCCAAGCCACAGCTTTGTGTGAATGGACAGAGCAGCAGGTGCCCGCTTAGGAAGCTGCTTGCTGTGGGGGACCCAAGGAGGATCCAGGCTGCTCTGGGCAAAACCAATGCACACAGCAGGTAAGTATAGACATTTGTTTTTCTTTAAAAAAAAAAAAAAAAAAAAAAAAAGAGCTTTTCTAATCACTTTAAGGTTAAAAAAAGCTTCTGCCTTGAGAATCGCGTTAAGCACAGGTTCACACTGTGGTGCAGGACACTGCATAGAATTCACCCAGGAATTGCACCACATTCCTATGTGATTTGAGCCATACATTTTTCTAGAGCTCAAATCACATTGCATTCTGCACCAAAAAGGTGCAGGATTTTTTATTTTTTTGCACCATTTATCATTGCAGTTGCATTCATGGGATCTGATGCAGGTGTCAATGCAGTGTGGGAAACGCACAGGATTTGTAGAGTTTCCCACACTGTATTGGTGTGAACACCGGCTAAATCACTTCTGTCTCCTGCCCAGGATTACTTGTCTCATAACGCATTGCTTTTTAGTCACAAGTTCTCACTTACTGATGTGTATGGACAGTGTACTGAGCTGCATGTGTGCTGTACTGTGTATATGGACTTGTAAGCAAGTAATGCAGAGGGGCTCATGCACGGCATGATGAACACCTGTTCCCAGCGTTGGCTCCATTAGACTCGGAGTCCTACGGCTTGATTCCCAGGGCAATAACGCCTAATTTTCTGCTGATTTGCATCAGCACCCCTGTGCATGCTGTCGGCCAAAAAGGCACGTGGTTGCGCTTTACAGCATTCACTAACCACGTATTTACTCCGCACCAAAGAGGGGATTTCCCAACATGGCACCCAGTCAGAGTGGGCCCATGCAGCTTCCAGGGGATCCTCGGCTGAGTCTCCTACCATCCAGAGGGACAGGGAGTACTCCGGTCAGTGTACTAAAGCTGACTTAGACTTAGTCTATCTGCCATTTATGAAAAGTTAGCTGATAAAATACAAACAGAACTATATAAAAACTACCAGCACTCTTACTCAAGAAATTGCAGAATTGGGCAGTCACAGATATATTGGAGACTAAACATGATGAGCTTTCTTTATCCCATAATCTCAGGAAGGAACATGAATTGCTGGCTGAGAACTTTTTTCCTATTTACAATCTCAGGTAGAAGACTTGGATAACCAAAATCGTTGCAACAATTTGCAGGTTCGAGGTATTCCGGAGTCTGTTGAACTAATGCCTACAGTATCCATATTTCATACTCTCCTCCCTGAGACACCACTACCCTCCTTTGCATGCGTTGGAATCCACAGGGCCTTACAACCCAAACCAACTGCTGATAAATCACCTGAGATATAATTCTTTGTATGAAGGATTACCTAACTAAAGAAGAAATTTTACTTTCATCCAAGAATACCTCCAATATAGAATTAGAAGGTTCCAAAATACAAATATTTTCAGATATCTCTTTGGCTACTTTAGAAAGAAGATGCAAAATGACAACCTCAGTGCTTCAATCAGCTTGTATAAGGTTTATCATTGGGGCTTTCCTTTTTAAATTGTCAGTACCTCATAATGGTACCACTTATACAATTTTCACTGTCGCAGAGGGTAAAGAGATCCTGCTTAAATTGGGACTCTTAGAACCTGAACCTGCACTACACCTTCCTGCAACACCTCGTCCATCACCTATATGGTCTACGTTTCTTCCTCTTGTGGAGATCAAAGATGATGGCGACAGTCTTTCAGGGATTTGGCAGCTTAAAAAATGCCTTCACTCCTTCATAACTGAACATATTTCATTCAATAAAGTTTGATCCACTACCTATATCACTTAGGATGAAATAATGCAGATGAACAACAGAGAAGATGAGATCTAAACCCCCCTTTTTTATATTTTTCTTTTGCGGTCTTCTCATTTACTGTGTTCTCACATTTTTGTAAATATTTTATCTCTATCCCTATCCACCAAGGCATTTGCTAAATCTTTCTTGCTCATTGAATAGTTTCTAATTGATAGATACATGGAGAGCACATATTGGAGTAAAGGCTTATACATTCTATTCCCATCCACATGATTACACCCATCTGGACTATATTTTCAGTACTCCTATACTATTAGCCAATTCTACTGCAGACATACACATATGCCCATAGTCAGATCATCGGTTTCCTTCACCACTTCCCATATAGGTTTACTCCTACTCCATACAGGTGGCGCATCAATGACTGTTATCGGCTCCAGAAATTATACCACAACTTTCTTCATATATGGAAGATTATTTTACACTCAATACAAATTCTAATCTCCCACTTTCCTTTTGGACCACACATCTGTAATACGAAGACACTTAATCAGTGTGGCTGCTACAAAAAACAGAGCTAAATTGTCTATCAGAATTCTTACCAGAGAATTGGACCATCTGTATAATAGACAGTCCGTCTCCCTCTCCAGACCTTTTTAACCAAAATTCAAAATAAACAGCATGCTTTAGATACTATATCATCTGATGCCAAAAATCTCTCAAATGGTCTAAGGTGAAATTCCTTTTACATAGCAATTCCACATCTACCATGTGTGCCAGACAATTAAATCATTGAACTAAACCTCCTCATGTATACAAACTTAGAAATGCATCAGGAAATCTAGTCTCCCACCCTCAAGAGATTGAGTATCTTTTTCAGCTTTCTATAAGAACTTGCTCTATTCCATCTCCCAATTCATCTTTTCAATTGTGGTTAGACAGAATTTCACTTTCCACACTCTAAACAACAAACTGATAGACTTAATGCCCCATGCACCAATCTAGAGGTAATTAACATTATTAAATCACTTAAAACTTCCACTGCACTTGGCCCTGATGGTTTCCCTACCACTTATTATAAAAAAGTCTTCAATTTTAGTTCCTCGTTTAAATTGAATACCTTTTTTTTTATTTTCCAAGGAAATCACTTTCCTGAAATTTTATTAGCAAATATGTCCGTTACCCAAACCTTATAAAGATCACACTTTGCCACAATTTTCGACAAATTTATGTTAATTATCTCAATTTTGGTCATCTATTAGCTGACAGACTAGCCAAAGTTTGAACCTCTGGTTCAACCGGATCCAACTGGTTTTATCCCAGACAAATCACAGAATCTGTTTAGCCACTAATATTAAAGATTCAAATCTTCACTCAGTTTGTCTATGTAGCCTGGATATACATAACACTTTTGATAGTGTTGGCCCTACTTGAATATTCAACTTCCTAAATATGGTATTTCTGATTAATTCTACTAAATTGGAACTCTTATGGCTGCTCTAGGGTTTGATTATGTCACTGGAGCAGGTTTTTTCCTGTTCTAATTGTGCCCAAGGAGATGACTTGGGTAAGCAAGGGGCAATCTGTATTTGGTGTCAGAGGCTTCTGCACTAACTGAATGCTTGTATATCCGTACAGTGTGCAAGAGGCCTTTAGTTGTCAAATGAAGCCGCAGCACTACCCCCTAAGGCTAGCCAAACATTGCTCTCTTTCTCTTGTTCATTACTGTGGGCTTAATGGATTAAATCTCTCAATTCTGCCATCCTTGCAAAACACAGATGACGAAATCTCCCCTGCCAGCTATTGCAGTCAGATTGCTGACACCTGTAGCTGTCTGAATTTCCAAATGGCAACTATATCTGATTGGATGCAGTTGCGTTTTTTTTTTTTGGGTTTTTTTGGGGTTTTTTTTGTTTTTGCTGAACATTTTCTACCCAAGCCAAGACTTGTGTTGACACCCCTGCACCACTCTTCAGTGGGAGGATCAATGAATTTCTTTCTCCTTACCTTCTGCTAATGCATGACAGCACAGCGCCCCTTATGCAACTAAGGACAGAAGTTATGTCTTCGCTTGTAAGAAGTGTATCATGTCATGATGGGGGGGGGGGGGGGGGGGGGTGGTGTAAAAAAAAATTAGCCCTTTTTTACAGCAGACAATTGCTACTATAAGGGATTAATTCATACTTTGATACAGTAAGTGTTTTTATGTATCTATTCCAAGGGTAGGCAACTTTTTGAGCATAATGTGCCCCAAAAAAAAATTCAAGGACACTAATGGTGCCAGCTACATAAAATGTCAGTTTGATATTTGGTCATGAAAAGGAATTTTTATAAATAAATACTGTCGCACTTGAATAATAAGAACTTAACACATATAAATAGATCCAAATGCAGCTTGCCAAGGCTACCTTTACCAGTTTCTTTACCTTCACACCTCAGATCAGCCCAAATCCTGTACCTTCAGCTCTCATGTGAGCCCTAATTTCTGCTCCTCCATGCCTCAGAGCAGCCCCAATTTCTGCCCCATCAGATCTCATGAGCGCCAATGCATGCACCTCACTTCAGATCAGGCTCAATTTTTGCTCCTTCAGTTCTCATGCAAGCCCCGGAGCATGCACATTCACACAACAGATCTGTCCCAATTTCTTCAACTTCAGGTCTCAAATGAGCCTCAGCTTCTGCACCTTTAGACAGGGTCAGATCTAGGGGAGGGGGAGGGCAAAAAAGGTTCAATTTTTATTTTGCATTTTAGGGGTCTAATTATCAATGTCTTCACCCAGTATTTATATATATTCTTTCTGAAGATTCAGTTGAGATTGTGGATTGCCAAATGTATCCTTTTTGCATTTTAGGTGGATTTTGTAATTCTAAAATGTTTGTTCAGTGTATAATAAACTATGCAATTAATGTTGACTTTTTTACAGGATATTATTGATTTGACAATCAACCACTGTGCACTGACGAACCTGCCAGAGCTGGACAGCAGTGTTATTGATCTCACTGCTAATGAAGATGGTCTAGGGTCATGTCCTGTAACATCACCCTTCAAAGATTACTTTTCAAATTCTGATAGTAATGGGGATATGTCATCTAACAGCTCCTCTGGAGTGATCTCAGAAAATGAGGAAGGGACTAGTGAGTGCAGCTGGAGAACAGACAGTGAAACCACCTCAATAGAAAATGGTTTTCTGCAAAGAGATGTTTGTACTTCAGGGAAAGACAAGTGCCTTGCACATGAAACCAGCAGGAAGTGCCTTACCTCTAAAGCAGACATTAAAGAACAGTCAGATTCTGTTTTAATGTTACAAGGGTGGTCTCCTTTACCCACTCCTGCTAGTGGTGAAAGCAGCTCTGACTATGCAATCAGATTTCCAAATGTCAACTATCAACCTCCGTTTGATGCAGGCTTCATGCCCTCTCTGCCTGTAGTAGAAGAATCTGATACTCAATCATCTCCATCTCCAATCAACAAAGCTTTACTTTATAAACTGAGATATTTCAAGAAACCACCAGTCAGTTACTACTTCCAAAGAATTGAAAAACCAGAAAAGGTAAAGGCATGACATTTGTGTAACCAACAAATTGTCAATGATTGCTCTGCATATATTGGAATAACAGTGGATATAAAGAGTCTACACATGCCTGTAAAAAGCCAGTTTTTGTTTTTTAAATTTAAAATCACTTTACAGGTTTCAATTTTAACAATCTGTGCAATTCAATTAAAGCAATTTAAATGATTGGGGGGGGGGGGATAGAAAAACTTGCATGGTTGCATAAATATGCACACCCTTAAACTAATTTGTAGCACCTTTTTTTGTTTTTATTTAGTCCTTTTGGGGTAGGAGCAGGGGCAGACTGACAACTCATGGGGCCCCTGTGTCCTTGCCCAAACTCAAAAAAGCCTATAAAAAAGGTACCAGGGGCATCTCATGGGGCCCCCTACTGACCTCGGGCAGTGCCAGAGTTTCCAAGTGGTCAGTCCGCCCCTGGGTAGGAGTCTATCTGCATGGCACATCTTGCCTTGAATCTTTGTCTACTCTTCCTTCCCAATCTGTCTGATAGGGCATCTCCTGTGCACAGCTCAGATTTTCAATTTGGATTCAGTTCTGGCTGGGCCTTTCCAAAACTTGAATTGATGCCATTCTTTTGATTTGGAGATATGCTTTTGGGTCGGTGTTATTTAAACCCATGACCCTGCATTCACTATATCTGGTATTTCACAGTACCCAATGAGCTCTTTGCAGATCATGTCTTTTGCTGTGAGCGGCAACTGGGTAAATGTCAGAAATCCTGCTAGAACAGCTGACTTTTTTATATGGGCTTAATCCAAAGTACTTTTCATTGATTGCATGTGTATACTTACTATTTATCATCCGTCTGACTGACAATTTTAATTCTGAACACAGCCACATCCCTCAGAGGGTGTGTACACTTATGCAGCCGCATTAATTATTTTTTTTTTACAGATTATAGGTCACATTTAGGGCCACTTCAAGCCTTGAATCTGACACTAATCTTCACTGCTGTGTTTTCAGACAAATTCATTTGGGCTGGAATTGCACTGCACCAGAAGTAGTGCATGCACCACTTTACAAAACACTGCAACCAGATTGCATGGTACTTCTGTACCATGCAATCTGGTGCAGGCAAATACACTTCATTTCCAACCTTTGTCTGGAGTGTTTAAGATTGTATGGACAGCCACTGCAGATCTCAAGGCAGTGCATTTAGAACACACTATGGGGAACGTAGTTTTCTTCACCTCATTTTGAAGTTATTTGCATATCTTGCTAATTTTGAAAATGTTGCCATGTTCATATTGGTGACTTTTGGGATTTTCATCGTTCAACATTAAACTATTTAAAGCTTTCTTCTAGACTTGTCATTTTTGTATCCTATTGCAGAGCAAGCCTCAAAGGTCAATACCTCAGAGTCGTATGAGTATTGTGAACAATACAAGGGAAGAAAGCATTCACCAGGGCACACTACATTTCCTTTCTGAGTTTGTAACTGCTGAACATTACCCACCTAAAGACACTGTCATGCATGTCATCCAGTCCATGCTACTGGGTGAGGTGGAACAGGCAATCAAGAATGAGGCTTACATGATCTTAATGAAGGTGCAAAAGTAAGTTGACTTGTGTTGTGCTTTTTTAAACCGGTACAGTAATACCTCGGTTTAAGCATTTAATTCGTTCGGCAGGGCTTTTCTTATAGCAAAAAATTCTTAAACCGAAACGCCGTTTCCCATAGGAATGCATTGAAAACCAATTAATCTGTTTCGGAGATCAAAAAAAGTAAACACGAAAAAATACCGCATGAGTTATTTTATCAGGTCATACGGCATTTTAGTAGTGACAGCCATGTGTTTAATATTTCAGCTGTCAGCGGGGTTCCTCACTGACGCTGAATGTAAAAATTGCCGGCAATTTAAAAAATTTAAACTGCGTGGGGTCCCCCTTCCCATCTATACCAAGCCCTTTGTGTCTGGTATGGATTTTGAGGGGAACTCCCACGCCAAAATGTAAAACAATGGCGTGGGGGTCCTCCCCAAAATCCATACCAGACCCTTTTCAGAGCATGCAGGTCAGGAAGGGGGGGGGGGCAGACAATGTTTCTTAGACAATGTTTCTTAGTTAAAAGTGCAGCAATTGCTTTATGAAGAAAAAAAAGCAGCAATGACATGACATACACTTCGTATTGTGAAAAAAAAATTCATACAAAATTTGTAAACCGAGGCATTATTAGTGGATTTTCATTTGCAAACTGAAAGTTACTTTAACCGAGGCGTTCTTAGACCTAGGTATTACTGTATATTTATTTCCCATAGCCATATTCATGCTATATAGTGTTAGTAGAAAAATTCTAAACATCATTTGATTCAAAAATGTATCTATTTGCATTCTGCTTTTCTCCTTGTACCACTTTTATTTTCTCAGCCCTGGAACCCTTGGGTAAAGGCAAAGCAGGGGTTTATTTAGACCTCCAGGGGTGGGAGAAGTCTCCTTCCTTCCTTCCAGCTGTCCAGATTCCACTTGAGGGATGCATGTTTGCTCACTCAGATATCCAAAAGCTTGCAAAGGTTTCTGCAACTGGCTGTCAAATTGGAGGACACAATATTGCACCTCACGTTAACAGCAATTCCTTTTGAGCTGTCCTCGGCTCAAAGAATCTTCACCATGGTCTTGGCAGAAGCTTTGGCTCCCCTACGGATGCAGGAAGAAATATTCATCCATTGCAGTAAATCGATGGTGTACCCCAGAAATGTTGTTCAGGAGGCTGTAAAACAAGTAGATAAGCATGTCCGTTCCAGTTCATGCAGCTATGTCAACATTGTGCTGCCTTACAGATTCTATTCCAGCAGTTCCATGAGTCCGTCTCCATCCAAGGGATCTCCAAGAAAGCATTTTACAGAATTGAAGTAATTTAAAATCTCTCAAAACCCATCACTGTCTCCTCTTGGGTGAAGGGGAAGTCATGGTGGCAAAATCAGGCAAATCTATAGGCTTACTGTCTTCTTTCCCAGTTGCAAGAAGACTAACAGCAGGTTCAAGCTCTTGGGGCTGGGGAACTAATCAAGGGTCCTGGTCTAAGCAGGAAGCCAAGAGGTCCTCCAACTGGATAGAATTTAAAAGCTGTCCAGTTAGGACTTATGTCCTTCCAGGAGATAATCGGGGGGGCATCATGTTAAAGTTTTCATACAACGCTACCACCGTAGCCTACGTGTCAAAGTAGGGGGGCACCAGAAGCAGAACTATTCTTCTGGACTTGGCTTTCCAAATTCTGATTTGGGCAGAACACAATTTGTCTGACAGCAATCCGCTTGAAGGGTAGCCTGATTCAATTAGCAGACTTTCTAAGCAGAAGGTGGTGGAGTCAAAATGGAGCCTGAACCCTGAAGGTTTTTTACATTACATCCAGGTGAGGTACTCCACAGGTGCACCTGTTTGTGAATCGCTCAAATGTAAAGGCACCAAATTTATTCCCTGTGCAAGGAAGAGCAAGCAGAGGGCCTAGGTATGGACCTTCATCTGTTTCCCTCTTTTTCAGTGAATTCCACTTTTGATCATTTCTGGAGGAATGCACAAGTCTGATTCTTGCAGCCCCTTTTGGCCCAAGAGAACATTGTCTTTGTCTTCAGCTCTCCAACACCTAGCAGGAAAACCTCCCTGGATGTTACCCCTAAAAGCTTCTTATTCAGGGGCCTCTTTCACACAGGGATAGGCCAGCACAAGCTGACACCTGGTTACTGATGAAGAAACCTTAAGAAAAAGTGTCTAGGGTTTGTGGGGTTTTTTTTTTTTTTGTTTGTTTCCCCCCCCCCCCCCCCTCCCCCCCCCCCCCGCCCCCCCCCTCCCCCCCCCCCCCTCCCCCCCACCCCCCCCCCCCCCCCCCCTCCCATCCCCCCCCCCCCCCCCGCCCTCCCCCCCCCCCCCCCCCCCCCCCCTCCCCCCCCCCCCCCCCCCCCCCCCCCCCCCCCCAGTGAGACTTGTCAGTGGTTCTACAGAGTCTGACTAAAAGACCATTTTGAACCATTGAAGGATGCTTCAGTCAAAGATCTGACCTTTTTTAAAACCATTTCTGCTAGGGGCAGTGACTTTTACTCAGGTTGGTGAACTGCAGGCTCTCAATTGTGGAACATTTTTAATATTTATGGATCATATCCATTTTGAGAACAGATCAAAGTTTTGTTTGTTTTGTTTTTTACCCTAAAGTTTCATCCTTTCACAGGTCTCAAGAAGTCCTCCTGCTTTTTGCCCATCTCCATCTTGTCCTAGGGAAGAAACTTTCCATATCTTGGACATTAGATGCTTATTGCATTATTTGGAAATCTCAAGACTTTAAAAACTAATTCTGCTTGCTTTATGCAGGATCACACAAGGGTTTGGGTGCTTCTAAAAGTACTATAGGGAGATGGCTTAGATTGGCCATTCAGGAATCTTGTGGCCTCTGGTGTAGAAGTTCCAACTGGTATTGTGGCCCATTTAACCTGGGCAGTGGCAGCCTCCTGGGCAGAACCGGCTGGTGCTTCTGTGCAGACCTGCAAAGCCGCTACTTTGGATGGATGAGTTATTCTACTACTTTCATATGACATTGGATGGATTTGCTCTCAGTCACTGTACAATTTTTTTTTTTTTTTTTTTTTTTTTTTTTTTTTTTTTTTTGGCAG